GATCAAAATTTTGATGTTTGGCAACAGTTACAATTTATATTTGTAAATTGAAGTTATGTTGAAATAAAAAAATATTACAATACTATTTTTGCATTGTATGAAAATGTTTATTGCTCTGTATAAATTTTTTAATCAAGTCCCCTCCCCCCCCCCAGTCAAAGGTGTCCCTCTTTACCAATCTGAAAATCTGGTCACCTTATACTGAGAAGAAGTTTCTATTTTGGAGGGTAAAGCTTTGACAGGAAAGCTTTGTGGGATGACAATGGCATAGGAAACAGACATAACCTTAAATGTATGTGTGGCTTGTATTGTGGCAAAACATAGTCTTTGGAAAGAAATTTAACCAAGAGTTTAGAGTTACCCTAGGTATTTGAAAATGTTCCGAAGCATGGGAAGGTTGTCAGAGATAATTCACAACAAAACTTTTATTACAAGAAGACCAAAGAGTCTTACAAAAGACCAAAGATGTCATTTTGATTACTTGATTAAGTAATCCCATAACAGTCCATCAAACAATTTGAAGTTGAATTTAACCAGATATAAAGATAATGCTATATGATATTGTTAGTTGCGAAGTCATGTCTGATTCATTGCGATCCCATGCACAACATTCCTCCAGGCCTTCCTGTCTACCATCCCTGGAGTCCATTTAAGCTCACGCCAACTGCTTCAGTGACTCTATCCCTTCGCCTCATTCTCTATCATCCCCTTCTTTTGCCCTCAATCTTTCCCAGCATTAGGCTCTTCTACAGGGAGTCCTTCCTTCTCATTAGGTGGCCAAAGTATTTGAGTTTCATCCTCAGGATCTGGCCTTCTAAGAGCAGTCAGGGTTGATATCTAGGACTGACTGGTTTGATCGCCTTGCAGTCCAAGAGACACACAGGGGTCTTCTCCAGCACTATAGTTCAAAAACCTCAATTCTTTGGCACTCAGCCCCTCTTATGGTTCAATTTTCATAGCCATACATTGCAACTAGGAAAACCACAGCCTTGACTATACACACTTTGTTGGCAGGGTGATGTCTCTGCTACTTAGTATGCTGTCTAGATTTGCCATAGCTTTTCTCCCCAGGAGCAAGCGTCTTTTATTTCTTGGCTGCAGTCCACACTTGGAGATAAATAAAATCTGTCATTACCTCCATTTCTTCCTCATCTATTTGCCATCTAATTGAGAGGGCCAGATGCCATGATCTTAGTTTTTTTAATGTTGCGTTTCAAGCCAACTTTTGCACTCTCCTCCTTCACCCACATCAAGAGGCTCTTTAGTTCCTCTTCACTTTCAGCCATTAGAGTGGTATCATCTGCATATCTAAGATTGTTGATATTTCTCCCGGCAAGCTTAATTCCAACTTGTGATTCATCTAGCCCCACCTTTCTCATGATGGGCTCTATCTAAAAGTTAAATAGGCAGGGTGACAGTATACAGCCTTGCTGAACTCCTTTCCCAATTTTGAACCAATCAGTGTTTCCATGTCCAGTTCTCACTGTTGCTTCTTAACCCGCATATAGGTTTCTCAAGAGACAAATAAGATGGCTGGTACTCCCATATCTTTAAGAACTTGGCAAAATTGCAATATAGTGACCTGAAAAAACATTTTATGCAGTTTAAGGAACACAGGATATCAGGGATGTTCCAAATTTCACTATATAAATTACCTGAACCTAAAATGCAGGACCCCTAAAAACAGTGGGAAACATAATAAAATGTGTGACAGTGATTGAGAGTGATTTGGGTGATACACTTTGAAGATACATTTCAATAAGTTCAGTTCCAAATACATGCTCACAACTAACATGATCATCCTTTTTTAAATTGTTTCATTTCTCCACTTACATCTAGTACATCCCATAACAGTGCCATGATAATAGTTTCTCCAAACTAAAGTTAGTCATCATTTTATAGCAATCTTGAAATCATTTCCACAGAGATATGAACTAACTCTGGGCAAAAGAAAGCAAGCAGCAGCCCACCGCTGGCTTTCTTTTGCCCACCACTATGTCCGACACAGCGGCGGGCAAAAGAAAGCCAGCGGCGGGATGGCGCTTTCTTTCGCCTGCCTGTCAGAACTCACATAGATGTCGGACATAGCAGCAGGCAAAAGAAAACCAGCGGCCAGCTGACACTTTCTTTCTTTTGCCCAGAGGCTGCAGCGCGCCTGAGCTGCCCGCCTCTGGGCAAAAGAAAGAAAGCAGCAGCCTGCCAGCAGAGACGGGTAAAAGACCCGCCTCTGCTGGCAGGCTGCCCTGGACACAGAGAAAGAAAGCTGGTGGGCTGCCCTCCCTGCCTCTCCTACCCCCTTCCCTCTCTTCCCTCTCAAACAAACTCTCTCTCAAATTGAGAGAGAGTTTGTTTGAGTGAAGAAACAAACACATGCACAAACACACACACACACACAAAAATTACTTACAAATTACATTAATTTTGAATTCCTCCCCCTCCCTCCAACCCACATACCTTTTCCAGCTGTTTCACAATCACAGAGGATTTCAACTTTGCTCTTGCCTGCCAACATGAAAATGTAAAAATATAAAAGGAAAAAGGCAAGAGCTGCTGAGGTCAGGCTGGGCTAGCTGCTGCCAGAATCCCCAATGGATGACTCTGCTTAATTGTTTAAAAAAGCCTCTTAAAAAACGCCCTCTACTGGAGGAGGCAAGATACTCACGTGCCTTATCTACATAAGGAATTTTTTGGCTTTTAACCCTTGCTTAACTCTGCTCTAAGTGATCATAAAGTCAGACTAAATGAGGCACTTGGTTCTCCCGCCTCCTCCTGTAGAGGGCACTTTTTTAGAGGCTTTTTTAAACAGTTAAGCACTAAGCAGAGTCATCCAATGTGACTCTGGCAGCAACTAGCTCAGCCTTTTTCTTTTTACATTTTTTTTCTTTTCATGATGACAGTGGTGAGGCTCTGCCTCCCCTGCCTCCCCTGACTGCACGTCACTGAGTAAGAACAATCCTTAACATCATCAGGTTGAGAAAGGTACAGTTTACTAGAAACCAAGTGAAATACAGTAGTGCAAAGCCAGAACTGCAATCAAAATCCAAAGTGTAACTTTTCCCTCCCGAAGGTGCCTCCCATTGTTGGTCCCCTCATCTCCAATCAAATTTAAAAGACTGTCTCCTGAGGAATGCAGCTGTGCTCCATTCCCAAGCAACTGAGCTCGAGACTGCACTTGGAAAGGAATATCTCCCGAAGTATATCCCCCCTCCCATCTGCCCCCCTGAGTTCAAGGCACAGTAGTCCTGAAAGAAGTTCTCAAAGCACAGTAGTAGAGTGTTGAGGTGGCATCTGACACTGCCATGCACCAAATGACAACCATAATTAGTTCCAAATCATCAATTTCTCAGAACCCCCTCTAGCTTTACTCATCACATGTATTTTTTCTGTCCATGTTTATTGTCTAAGAACAATGTAAGAGGCAAACTGAGTGCATGGACACCTTCATAAATAAAAAATGCTAGAAGTTGCTACCTTGGGGTGCGTACCCCAAAGTTCCATTTTGGGCCCAATATTCTTCAATATCTTCATAAATGATCTAGATAAGGGACTAGGAGAAATCATCAAATCTGCAGATAACACTAAATTGGCAGGCATAGCCAAAACCACAGAAGACAAGCTCAAGATCCAAAAAGACCTTGAAAAACTTGAACCCAGGGCCCTATCTAACTACCAGCTTATTCCATGTAGATAAATGTAAGGTTTTTACACTTAGGTAAGAAAAGCAAGTGCATAGGTAGTACAAACTACGTGAACAATTACTTAATGACCAGTAATTGTGAGAGGGATTTTAGAATCCTAATGGACAATCAATTAAATATGAGCCAACAGTGTACAGCACTATTAATGTATTCCTAGGTTGCATTAATAGA